GAGCAGAAACCTGTGCCCAGAGAGGGGGATTGACCTGTGGGGAGATGAGAAAAGCACTGATGGACAAGCAGGACTGCAGACACAAAGTCATGGAATCAGAAAAAGCTGAGCTGGAAGGGACCCACAAGGATCACCGAGTCCAACTCCTGGCCCCGCACAGGAGCGTGTGTGGGGAGATGAGAAAAGCACTGATGGACAAGCAGGACTGCAGACACAAAGTCATGGAATCAGAAAAAGCTGAGCTGGAAGGGACCCACAAGGATCACCGAGTCCAACTCCTGGCCCCGCACAGGACCGTGCCAAGAGTCACACCCTGTGCCCAAGAGCGCGGCCCAAACGCTCCCGGAGCTGTGTCAGGCTCAGGCTCGTGTGCACTCAGTGTACCTTCACCTCCAGACCCGACCTGCGGAGTCCACAGAGCCACCTCAGCTGGTGCCACAGCTGAGGGCACTGCAGCGGCACAAAGGCTGGGCAGGGCTCTAAAACCTGCCCACAAAGCAGGACAGAGGTCACTGACACGGGTTTGCAGCAGGAAAATCCCCAGCGGGATGGAGCCGAGCAGGGTGCCGGCAGCCAGAGGTGTTTGCACAGGGACTGGGCTGAAACCACCCCTGCACACCAGGGCTAAGGCCCTGCAGGCACTCCCAGACAAAGCCATGAAATATTAAAGCTCCTCACTCAGAGACAGAAAACTGAAAACAAGGTAGCTTGAAACTGGCATTGAAAAATAAATAAATATGCACATGGACACACAAAGCTGTGACCGGTCCTTTGCTGGTTACTGCAGTCAGATGGGCAGCAGCCTCAAAAGAAGTGTGGAATCAGAGAATACCCCGAGCTGGAAGGGACCCTCAAGGAGCAAGTCCAACGACCCCAAAATCACACCATGGTGTGAAACCACAACATCCTTCAGGGTCTTGCAGACAGCCTCTACCACTTCACATCCTCACAGCTTTCCTGGTATCACCTCAAACCTAAGAACACGAACACATCCTGTAAATATTGTGTGGTCGACTCCCAACACTGTGCTCACACCCAAGATGCTTCTGAAATATTTATGTTCCTTATTTATTATCCTTATGCATTATGTTCCTTGTGTATTATTCCTGCTTTTCCCCACCAAAATGTAAATTATTTAAGGAACACCTTGTTCAGTGGCTTTTAAGAAGCAAATGTGCCATGTTTCCATTTCAATTGGTACATTCTACCCTTATCAGATGAGCTCCGCAAGAAATAACACCCACCTCTCCTCAAAACTTTTCTAAATTAAAATAAAAAACCTCACCACTTAAAAGAAGGTGTTCCTTACATACAGGAATCCTGGCTCCCCTAAAACCACTGGTGATACCAAAACAAATAAATACAGTAATAAGTTCAAAAGAAAAATGTGCATATGAAAATATATTACAAAATGCCAGGAGATTTATGTCTTTGTGTGTGTAGCACCACTAAAGCTCTTGAAATAAAGCATTTACTATCTCATAAAGCAAGACTATACATACTGCACAGCTTGTAGGAATTACTGAGTGCCCGTCACATGGTCTGGTTTCTGCAGATCAGACCCTAAAAATGTTGAGTTAAACACTCATCACACTTCATTTCCAGGGCACATGCTGCTGGTTTCTTAGGTGCACAAAACGGCCTCTCTTCTGCTCAGAACAGTGTCAGAAACTCAGGTTTTTGCAGGTTTGTATGAATGTCAGATGTAGATGCCATTCTTGCCACATTTTTGGGTCCCAGAAGAGAACAGAGGCACCAAAAATCGTGCGAGCAGCTGGAGCAGATCATTGCCTGCTCACAGAGCAAAGCAGAGAAGCCACAAACACCCAGCTGCCTCTGCTGGGTAGGTGTTAATGGCACACTTGTCCTCAGGTTGGTCTGAAAAGTGATAAAAATGCTCATCCTGAAAGCTGGGCTTTCAAGATAATGCAACTGTGACAAAGGATGCATTTTAATGGGCAGAAGAATGTGTGTTCTCAACTTTTAGCACCCAATACAGAATGCAAAAACCTTTCTGCCAGGGAGACCCACGACTCACTAGGTCAGCTCTGACACCAAAGGCCACCAGCTCAGGGCACAGAGGTTTAAAGAAAGGTCCTGCCGGGCAGGATGGGCTTTGGCAGCTGTGCCCAGAGGAGGAGGGAAGGAAGAGCCTCTAAAGGAGCCGTCCTGTGCAGCAGCAGCACCACCAGAAACCATCAGACGGTCTGAGACCAGAGTTTTTCAGGTAGAAATTACTTCCTCCTCCAACAGTAAAAAAAAAGAAGGAAAAATCCTTCTTGCCAGGAGAGTCACACTGAAATCCCTGAAGGCCACTCCAGCCTTTTGCTGTTCTCCCAAAAGAAAACCTGGGGTGTCTGTCACACCACTCAGAAATGGAACACTTGGAGAAGTAATACATGCTGAGCAAATACACAAGCAAATAAACGAATCCCTGTTTACTAATCTGTCAGGAGATAGCACGTAGTACATGTTTCCAGATCCCAGCAGATAAACATGACAGCAGGAATACGTTTGTTATTCTAATTCCTTAGCCCTACAACAAAACAAATATTTTTTTCTGTCCTTTCTTCAAAGAGTCCCACCTGATCAGTCCAGGAATTTGCTGCGTAGCCCTCATTCCCACAAGCAATGTTTCTGCTAAGCTCGAGCCCTGTTCCATGTGAAACTTGCTCTGTCTCATGGATACAATAGCTAATTTTGGACTTACCCTGCTCCTGCTGGGCCAGAGTCATCACTGGCATGGCTCCACTGTAATTCAGTCTACTGATGCATTACAGACAATGCACAACATGAGCTAATCCTTAATGATGCTTTTCCCCCTTTCCCCCCTCCCCAAGATATTATTTCAGTAAGTAGTAAAATGACATACGTAAAAATTATTAAATGAAAAAAACACAAACAGCAAACTAAAACCACGCTAAAATCGTCTTGCAAACACTAATTTCAGATGACACAGTAATCAGATTCACAGATACATTAGGACAAGCAGTGCAGCCCAGAGGAAAAGGCACAGCTCTTAAAGTCACAAGGCCTGGTCAGAGCTGCAGCTCTGCACTGACTTCAGAGAGAGAGAGATCAGTCCATGTTCCCACACCATTCCCCAAACCCTGGCACACAGATGTTAACTTTTCAGCACAGAAAACCTAACCACGATCATTTCTAAACCATAAAGAAGCAGATATGAAGTTGTGTTTAGAAACGAATGCCAGGGTATAAGGGGCTCCCACCAAACCAGGCTGATGCCTCCCCCATACTGAGGTTTAAGGTCTGCTGGATCCAGGCTCAGTGACATAAATTAACATGAAATGTTTTAATTTCTGCACAATTTTCTTTAACAGAGGAGGAAGAGCCAGGACATTCTCTGAAGATGAGTATTCATGATTTGTGATATATGTTCGTGTTGTTATTTAATTTCAACCTTTGCTTGTTTTCTTTTTTTTTTTTTAAGTAAAGAATTGTGTTTGACCCAACTCTTTTTCTTCCTTTAAAACATAAAATAACAAATCCTTCCTTATCTAAACCACCTTGTTAGGAGTCACAGAAGTTCCAGGGGCCTTCATGCTCTGCTCCCTAACGGGTCAGCATCAGCCAGACACAATACCCAGGTCACAGCAGCAGGGCTGCTCCACCAATTTTCTTCTTTTGAAATGGTAAATATTTCAGGGAAGTGCTTTAAACAGGGAATTATCTACGTGGAAAGCACGCTGCTTACCAAGAACTTTAAAAATATAGGTTTTTAATGCATTTGTATTGCGTGGTAGCTCTACAGGTTTTGATTTCTGCTTCAAGTAGAAGCCGGAGCAACTCTAACAAAGGCTGAGAGCTCTCATTTGCATTACTGGCCAAAATCTTAGCCACAGTCATTCAGCACCAAAAAAGATAAGGAGGCTTTATTTTTCCTTTTAAAAAAACATTGCAGTTGTTGGAAGAAAATCTTAGGAGCTCCAAACATCCACATTTCTAAGCTACTTGCTTCACTTTTTCATGCAACAGATGCTGCTTTGTATCAGCTCCTGCATATTAAATCATTCTGACAACCAAGAAAGCATACATTTGTTTGTGCCAGAGAGAAGCATGAATACACACACACACACAGATATCTTCTCACGCAGAAGCACACAATTATGCAGCATTCAAATATTTGGGATGAACTTTGGCCTTTGCTTAAAAAAAAAAAAAAAAAAAAAAAAGTACTCTCAAACAACAATCAGGAACAGACCCAGCAGTCATCTGGCTGAGCTCACAGAAATCAACAATCTGCAGCAATAAAACACCACTTGTGGGCAGCCATTTGAAAGTTACTTGGAAAATGATTCTTAGATGGGATAGTTCTATACACGTATTTTATGATTTATGATGGCCCTATGGATCGAGTTCGGAATGGAGACTAAAAATAAAATCTATGTTCATTCAAAAAATGGAGGAAAAAATCAGTTCTATTCACCCTCACATGTGTGGGGTGTTTTTGCACTCCAAACGACCTCCTTCAGCTCTGCCATTTGCATTCCCGATTTAAAAAGTAACTCGAAAACATCAGCAGAGCAGGGCTCTAAATCACCCCTACAGAGTAATAAGGAACAAGCCAAACAACCCAAACAAAACCGTTTTCCTGACGCACTAATCACAAGAAAATCTTAATGCAACAGCACTTGAGAACACGCTGAAACTTCTGACAATGAGAGCACCCTCAGTGAGTGGAACTGATCCGCAGCGCTTCCAACTTGTTTTTTTCCCTTTTTTTATAATCTCGGCTCGAGGCATATTTTCTCCACTACGTTTTCTCTCTGGTTACTAGAGAGTAATTCAATTCTGTAGCCAGTTACGGGGTTTTTCTTCACTAGATAAGGAGCAGGCAGAGAGGACCTGCACCGCACCGAGCGCGGCAGGGCCGGGACGCAAACCGAGCCCTGTCCCGGCCGTGCCGGAGCTCGGGGGTCCCTGCGGGTCCCTCGGGGTCCCGCCGCTCCCCGGGAGCCGCGCCCTCCGCGCCCCGGTACCTGGGGATGGTGATGCACTTGGTGTTGATGTTCTGCGTGGTGATCGCCTTCTCCAGCTCGTCCAGCTGCCCCGTCTTCTTCAGCTTCTTCACCAGGCTCTTCACCGCCTTCTCGCACCATTTCTCCTCCTGCCCGTTCTGCTCGCCTTTCTTCCAGCCCAGGAGCCGTTTGACGATGGGAGGAGTGAAGGGCAGGATGGAGGACATGCTGGCTGTGCCGGCAGCGCCCGCCGCCGGCTCCGCGCTCTGCCCGCCGCCCCCCGCGCTCTGCCCGCCGCCNGGCCCTGCCCGGCCCGGCCGCTCCCCGCCCGCCGCTGCCTCAGCGCCGCGGGCCCGCGGCTCCAAACTTTGCCCGGAGTTCGCCGCCTCTCCCCGGCGGCGGCGGCGGCAGCTCCCTCCTCCTCCCCCTCCTGCCCCGCTCTGTGTGCGCGGAGAGGCGCCCACTCCAGCTCATTCCCAGTCTGTCTCTCATGCAAATTGCCTGCTGGCCGCCCCGGCCCGGCTTCCACCCCCTCCTTCCCTCCCAAACACGCCGCCGAGGGAGGGAGGGAGGGAGGATGGAAGGAGGGCGGGGAGGCGGCCGGCCCGCCGGGAACTCCGCGCCTCCATCGCCGCCCGCGGAGGCCCCGGCTCCCCGAGGGGGATCGCGCTGCGCGGGGCCCACGGGGAGGGCAGAAAAGCCCAGAGCAGGACAAGGAGAGGTGCCCGAACAAACCCCACCGAGGGCAGGCAGGAAAATAAACACAAGTGTAAAGCCCGCTCAGTGAGGGGAAGGGGACAAGAGGGTCCACAGCGTGGCCGCAGCCCCTGCCACGGGCATTCGTCCATGGAAAGGTGCGTTCCCACACAGATCCCTGAACACAGCTTGGCCAGCCGTGCTCAGACAATCAGCTGCTTTTTGTTCCAACCCCTTTAATTTACTATTCCATTCCCTCATCTTTCCACCCCTAGCAACAGGTACCCGAATAATTTTTGCCCTGTATCAGACAAAAAGGACACCCTGGAGGTGTTTACCGCCGGAGCTGGTCAGAAATTCTCAGACGGAATATTTTTGTCAGAGGACGGCAGTTTGTTCACATCTAGGTGTTTTGTAGAGATGCTTCGGTTTGGGCTGACTCAGGGTGGCATCCAGGTACATTTCCAGTTTCTAACTTTCCATCACTGGGCAGACTGGCTTGTCACACACTCCCTAGTCTCGAGCATGCTGAAAGGCAGCCCAGGTCCTAAGAAAACATATAATTATAAACTTTAGCTTCTCAAAGCAACATTTCTCTGTTAAACTACCCCAAAACCGTGCTGAGCAAGGAGTCTCAGAGGCACCTGGTGACTCTGCAGGTGCCTCCAAGCAGGCTGGTTCCTTTTATCAGCTCCAGCTGCATCTCATCTCCCTGCAGCAGCTGCCCAGGAGCAACAGGGTGAAACTTTTGTGGGACTTGGCTCCCGAATTCTGAGTTTTCAAGCTGAGATACGCTTCCCAGTTTTCTCCATCCTATCAGAAGGGACGGCGGTGAGCCCGAATTTGGGAAGCCTGCGGGGCTGCTCGGCAGCTCCAGACACGCGGCTCTTGCCAGCCCACATTCTCATATTCCAGGATCCAGAGTATCCCAGTGGGGAGACTCCTCGAAAGCCGGCATCCCAAACCTCCCGTGCCTGTGGATTTGGAGCAGCCAGCCATCCACATTGCCTCGTGGCAACTCGGGAACCGATGGCATCAGACAGCGTCTGAGGCTCTGAGGCAACTGCCTTGGCTTTCACAGGCACTTCAGACACAGGCTTTTATTCCAAATTGACAGTACCAATTTTTGGAATATGAATACTGGATACAAATTAAATATGGCCTTCTCTCTTTTTTTTTTTCCCCCCCTTTCAGCATTCTCATATTATTCCCCAACATGCATTCCCTGAGTGTCTTGAATTTTGGAGGCTCACCACTAAAATTTTGAACTGTTGCCCTGACCCAGTTTTTGGCTGCTTCAGTTGAGATGCCTGCAGTTCCACAAAGATGTGGAACCCCTGTAGATGATCCCAACATTGTTTGAGGAAATATCTCCTCAATACCTCTAAAGCACTGCAAAAAAAATATTGATGCTATTTACACTAAAAGCAGGATGTCTCAATTAGTGCTTGCTAGTGCTGTTGACTTGGTGTATATTTCTGAAAAGGCCAAGTCCTCTAAAGCACTGCAAAAAAAATATTGATGCTATTTACACTAAAAGTGGGATGTCTCAATTACTGACTTGCTAGTGCTGTTGACTTGCTGTATTTTTCTGGAAAGGCCAAGCTTCTGATAGTTTGTGATTATTTAAGGGTCTGAACTCTGATTTAAAAGTTGTTGATCACAGCTCTAGAACACAACTCTAGAAAATGGCTTGAATATGTGAACCAAGTGAAACAGAGATGGGGAAGTTAAATACCTTTTTTTTTTAATACAGAAATACATTCTTACTACATTTTGAAATGGGATGAAGTTAAATAATCTTTTTCTATTTTCTCAATTCTTGGCCCAGCACATTTTGCAAGCCCAGAGGCTGAAGGACCTGCCTCAGACCTAGTAAGTCCATATTACATCAGGGTGATCTCAGAGCAGATTTCTGTTCTGGGGAACAACATTTCTTTCTGGCAGTTTTGGATAGAAAACCACAGGCACCATTCCATGCTTTTTTCATCCGGAAAGATTTTGATAATACTCAAATCTCATCTCTACAATCACAATTCTTGCTGTGACCTTGGTTCAGCAGAGCTTCTAGAATTTTCTGTCCACGTTCATGGGCTGATATGACTCCTCACAGTCATATCACAAGTCATGGTCTGGGTACATTTGAATAAGGGGAAGGAGAGGAAGAGCTGAGTGGTTTGCTCGTGCTTGTACAGTGATTTAGTGGCAAAAGGGTGAAGATAATTTGCTAAACACTAAACCAAACTGGGTCTCTCTTGCTTACAACCTCTAAATGAGGTGTAGGCAGCTAAACCACTGATCTAAACTCTGGGCCAGAGCAGCACTGAAAACACTCCTGAAAACAAACAAACTATTGGGCTTGGGATGTGGGATACATTTTTAAACTTAAGGCCATGACATTTAATGGAACAGCTTGTGTGCTTGCTGGGGTTACCTGTCAGAATGAACTGTTCTATGAAAATATGACTTTCTGAACCCCTAGACAGTAATCCTTTATTTCAGAGAGTTTTGGACACTCTCATAGTGGAAAAATTAACAGGAAAAGCAGGACCGTCCCAATTCTGCGTGGTCTGGATCCGAGTGCTGGTTTACAAAATGTCTGACGTCTTGGAAGGCACCACTAGGCAGGAGAAGTTTATGCTTCTTTTTGTGATTGTGCTCGTTTTTTGTGGAACAATTTGTTCTTTACTTTTATAAAGTCATTATCTTTGCTTGTGTTTGGAATTGTAGAGGTTCAGGGCCACAGTCTGCTCTTACTGAGAAATAAAGATATATGTAGTCTGCAATAACGTGAGGAAACCAAACACTTCAAGTAAAAAACCCAAACCCTTTACAACCAATTTGCATTTCTTAACCTTTTACTAATACACTAGCACCTTAAAATTACTGAAGAATAATATCTGCATACCTTGGGTTTTGATATGATTAATGAATAGGACCAGGATTAAAATTCTCCTTTCACAAAGAGAAAAATCAGGCTCTGCTTTAGGAACAATATAAAATTAGCATGAGAAACAAGAAGGTGTTCACTGGAGTTCAGCTGTGCACATATGTACCTTTATCAAAAATATTTTTAACGGCTTCAGAGACTGAAGAATTTTTCTGTGCTTTGCTCCAGGTTCCCTTTACATCCTCTGAGAGGCAAGAAGGGATTTTTGGGGCAGACAGGAAGGTGTTCAGGGCGAGCTGGGACAGGCAGGAGGGAGGCAGCGTGGCCAGAGCACGCTGTTCCCTGCCTGGGCTCGGGCTCTGAGGGAGCCTGGTGCCTGCTCCAACAGCTCCCAACGTGCTACTGTGGCTGGCTTGAAAATCAGGGAGTGGTTGAGAAGCAGCTTCTGAGGTGTTGCCCCCATTTCTACCTCACTGGCTGAAATATTAAATGTAATTTCCTACCTGTACATGGAATTTTACAATTCCCAGGTGGACAAGCTGGGAAGCTCACAGCAGAGAGGGTGGTGTCCTCGACTCCTCTTGTGCAGCGTTCTCCATGAAGGGTGAGATGGACAGCACTGAAAATGAGGAGTTTTAAACTGGGTTATCTTCATTGCTTACCTTGTAAATAAGGGCTGTGACATTTAACTTGGAATCTGTGTCATTTATAATGTGCATAAACAAGGGAAAGTGTGGGAGCTTTCCCTGGTGAAGGTAATATATATATGTGTAGAACAGCATTTACATGCAAGCAAACCTATCTTAATCACTCAGAACAAACCTACAGGAAAATAATTTCTGGTGTGAGTCATGAAAAAAGCGAGGCCTTTCTAAGTTAATGTCTTCAGCAGTAATGTCAGCTCTGTGAAATACACAGCTCAGTCAAATCCTTGCAGGGTACCACAGCTATTCTTCTCTGCAGATGAGAAAACATGCACACACAATAAAAAGTTGTTTTGTTGGAAATTCCTAATGCTTCATACACACAAGCCAATTCACCTGCATGTTCCAAGAGGCTCAGTGGTGCAAAAATCACACAACCACTTCTAGTTAAGCCAGAATCCTTTCTGTTACCACGGCAGCACCTCTTGCCTAAGGAAAAAATACAAGGCAGCAGCACGTCCAGAGTGATCCTTCTAAAACACTCTCCCAGTTCCTGGCAGTTATTTGTGTAGGCGCTCCTGAACTGGAGCTGACCTCCCTGGAGAGCCACGGACAGGCTATTCCTGCACTCCAAAACCTCTCTGCTTCTGATTTACACCTCTGAGTAGCCTTCCCCAGGCCCCCATGGCCCATCTGGGGCACAGGACAGAGCTACTCTAAAGAAGAACCGAAATTATCCACTGCAAATAATGATTCCCTTGTTATTTCCTTTATGAACTGTACGGGTCTTGGCAGAGAGAAAGGGCGGTGTTGAGGCTGGGGCAGGTGAGTGATCTCCCAGGAAATGTGAGTTTTCCCCTGTGTGTCACAGTGAGATGTGAGGCAGCCTGGGCCTCGGGGGGTGTTTGTGGTGTGCAGGGAGCTGGGGGGCCCTGGCTGCTCCCCTGGGGTCGGGGCTGCTCGGGGCACTCACAGCTGCACGGGAAGCGGCCGAGCTCTGCTTCACTGGCATGGCACGTCCTGCTGGGCAGGGCCTCAGCCCCCTCACAAACAAACAAACCCCTTCAGAGGGAATCCCAGCTCTGCTTCATCCTGCTGGGCAGGGCCTCAGCCCCCTCACAAACAAACACCTTCAGAGGGAATCCCAGCTCTGCTTTACTGGCATGGCACATCCTGCTGGGCAGGGCCTCAGCCCCCTCACAAACAAACAAACACCTTCAGAGGGAATCCCAG